CAAACACAGCACAGAGATGCTAGAACTCTTTCAGCACAGTAATTAGATGAATGGACATGATAAACCAAAACCAACACGTTCACCATTTCAACTAACAAACAACAATAAACGCATTAAATTTAAACTAAACAAAGCCTGGGGAGAGGCGAATGGCATTTTGGGAGTCTTCTATGTGCTCCTCCCCTCTCTCCCAATTGGCCCAAGCTCTCTTTTTTGCTGGCAGTGCCACTTTTCTGCCCACCTTCCAGTCACTTAATATGCTGCTCAACTTTTTCCACTTGAGGTTGTATTCCACTCCTGACACCAGTGTAGTGTTGGCGCGAACAAAGACCTGGAGCCAGCCATTTACATCTTCAAATGCTCTTTGTTGGGGCAAAAAGAGAAAGGAACAAAAACACATGGAGAGAAGATATGAGGGAGGTCACCAACAGCCAAACACAGCACAGAGATGGTAAAACACTTCCAGCATGCTAATTAGCTGAATGTACATGACTAACAAAAACAACACGTTCACCATTTCAACCAACAAATAACAACATTAAACACATTAAATTTATACTAAACAAAGGCTGCAGAGAGGTGCACAGCATACTGGGAGTGCTCTACGTGCTCCTCTCTGCTCTCCCAGTTGGCCCAAACTCGGTGGCAGTACCACAACAGTATAATGTCAATATAAAATTAGACAATGTATATGTTTAATGGTGTCCTATTAATGAAAAAATACTAAATGTGAAAAATATGTAAAAGAATAGTAATGTGTTCAATCTTTGTTCTGCAGCACCTGTCTCCATACCTGCCATCAAAAACATTTCAGAAATCAGTGAGTGTCAAACTCCAGACAAGAATCTGTCACATGTTAACATATCAGAAGCTACAGGTTAGTAATAATGGCTATTTTCCTGAAAACCTTTCTGGCAATGTTCTGTAGACACACCTGCTTAGCCCTGTGCACAGACATTTTGGGGGCAGGGCCTCAAGGGAAAATGTGCAACATCAATTCAAATTATTTTAGTTTACAGTATATTGTAACAAGTCTTGTCAAGAAAGACAACGTAATCACGTTTCAGAGAAAACCAACCTAATATTAAGAATTTTTTTTCAGCCCATCCAAAATTGCAGTCTACGCTGCATAAACAGGTATTGGAACCCCAATGTTAAACATACAAGTCTGTAAATGTATCTACTATGGAACCAAATTGCCATAGGAGAACCTTCAGGGCTATCTAGACTTCAGAGAAGGCCTAATGATTTCTGGGAACTAAAACATACATGTCTGTAATTGTTAGTTGATATTTGTTCAATAGAAGTTTGCCTGTATTTGAACTCTGCGAGTATTACAGTATTACTCTTGTTTCATTGTTAAGTCGGAAAGTATGAAATCCTTTGAACACAGAGTGGAAAATGATCCAATCAGGAAGTGTTTTCCTCTGTGATATTGAGGCCGACATAGCTAAGCAAGCTCTCCTTTTTGGTTAGGACTTCAAAAGCTGAAGAGAAGGCCCGGTGCGCTCATCATTATAATGAAGTGACAGAGGAATCAACCAAGCAACTGGGGAAAAAATGTCACTCTAGGTCTTCTGGAAGTCATAGATATGTCACTGATCATGAATACAAGCCTTAATCAAAAGGTTGTTGGAAAACAGTGGCAGCGGCTCTTTAAGAGGCCTCGCTATGGAGGCCCAGTGAAAATACAGAGCAAATTATGAGCTAATATGTTTGTAAACAGCTTCAAGTAAAACATGGATGTCTGAGTTTAATCTAGAATAGCAAAAAATAAATAAATAAATTAAAAATTGAAAGTATATGTAATTGGTCATTAACTTAGTGCTAGCAGACTACCAAAATCCCATAGGGACACTAGCGGAAGTTAGCATTATCATAGAGGTGGGTTTTTTTCCTCCTGTTTTGACGTTTTTGGCTGGAAGGCATCACACTAATAGTCACAGTTTGCCACTATGAACATGCTGTTCCAAATCTCAGTGCTCAATAGTCTTGAAGGTCCTAAAGATCCTCCACCCTGCAGAGTTCAGATACAGCCCTAATCTAATGCTGATATAGGTAATGAAGACCTTTAAGGGCATCTGACTACTAGATAGGTGTATCAGATCTAAACTGTCAAGGGTGACAGATCTCCAGAACCAGAACTGCGTATCCCTGATATAAGGGCTCCTACTGAGCCTTGTATAAAAGCTCTGGCTATTTTGCAATAACATAAACTTGGTTTAGCAAGTTATTGATGCCAATTACTGCCATTGTTCAAAATAACACATTATGAAATATGATGCTTTCATGAAGAGATTATCAGTGATATATTGCTAGGACAGCAGGTCAGTGTTATTAAGGTAAAATCGCAGATGCAGGTACTGCCCCAGAAAGGTTGCCCAGGAGCAATGAAGCTTGTGGAATACAAGCTGAACCACTAACTCTGTTGCAGGGATGATGCTGAGCCTCACCTTGCTGAAACATACCTTGAAAAATGTCCATATAAAACACAATTATGCCAAGAAATAGGGAACTTGTACAGTTTGATGGTAAAGAGCTAGAGACTCAAGCCCCCCCGAGTGTATGCCTGCACTTACTCATGGAACGGTTCTACTTATTTTTTAAGCTTTTAAAAATATGCTTTAGCTCACACTGTCGATAAGATTATAAAACAACATACAAAAACATACAATCAAGTGTGTAACTTTTAACTCCCAGCATCTTTCAGAAGATCAGTCAATGCAGCTTCAAAGCACTCCTATCAGGACAGACAGAGGGTCCACTTCAGATTTCTGCACAGTGCTTTGTTCAGTGACAAATGGTCCGAATGTCAACCTGTCATGGACTAAAGGCAGACAGACTTTGAAACAGACCAATAATCCAGACCTCAGTGTCCCTCTCTGCCTTTGTCTAGAGATACCCATTCAGGACAATCACATCTACAGCTGTGTTGCTGCCAACCCAATCAGCAAGCACTCAACCCAACTCAACATCACGCAGTTCTGTCCACAACCTGGTAAGACAACTGTACTTGGGCGTGTTTTACATGGCTTGCAAAGTAAGATAGCTTAATATTGATATATATACAGTAGTTTCTCTTCTAAACGACCCTTTTTTTTTCTTGCTCAGGCCTGTCCAGAGTCCACTGTTGTGGCCCTGTTGAACGTGTGGTCCGATTGGTGCTGTCTGCTGTGGTGGGCTTGGCAACTATTGCCATCCTGACTCATCACCTTAAATCCAGAACTGTGGGTGGAGCATAAATTTTAGTTGTGTTTATTCTTCTGAGTATATACATATAGAAAAAACTAAAACTAAGAAATGAAAAACACTGTTATATACAGTAGAGAAAAAGTTGGGAGTAGCCTAATGACTGAATTTAAAATATTAGATATTTTACCTTCAAGAAAAAGAACAAATGTTTATAAACTCATCAGCTAAATAAAAAAATTAAGATTTGGCTGAATGTTTGCTCAGTAATTTTAACTAAAAGTTTAAAAATTCCATATTAGATTACATTACCATCCAACTGTTCAGATCTCCACAAGGGCTGGTCATAGCTGCTGCCTGACAGTCCCAAACCATGTTACTAGAACCAAGGTTGTTATTGTCCCATCGTTGGAAGTGAAGTTACTGTCTATCTAAAACAGATACTAGGTGTGTTACGTGAGGTTAAGTTGGCAGAAAGGAACCAATTGGAGTTTATTAGGCAGGGAAGAGAGTTTGCACAAGTGGCACTAGTCTCAGCCCAAACTCTTGGGTGGGCCACATTTCCTTTTCAAAATCCACAGCATTTGACTAGGGCTTTTGACTTCAAAGGACAGAAAGTCCAAGGATTCATCAGAGATGTAGAGCCAGATATTTGCTAAAAATGAAAGTGTGCTGACAAGATTGCCCCTGAAGTACCTCTTCTCAGTGAAATCCCACTTCAGCAATGATACGGGCACCTATCTCCTACACAACAGTAGGATGTAACGGCTCACAGACAACAGCATTTCTTATGCCTTTCTCAATTCTTGTTCAGAGAAAAAGGATGGGGAACTGAGGATGTGTAGAGGCAGCTCAGTGCTAAAACCGTAAAAAAACCTTCCCCAATTGAAAACGGGATGCCTTTGGCCGCTCTGTGTTTCTCCACACTGGATTTACCGAGCAGCTATAACCTGTGATTTTCTCATATTTGATGCAACATTCATTCATGTACATCTTTTAGTCTGTATGAATTTGACAGAATGCCCATGGGTTATGCAATACCTCCTAAACCAGGGGTGCCCATTCCTGATCCTGGAGATCTACCACCCTGGAGATTCCAGATCCAACCAACCTTGCTATAATATTCAAGGTACTCCTGGAGGCCTTCATCACCTGGATCAGGTGTGTTTAATTAGGGTTGGAGCTAAACTCTGCAGGGTGCTAGATCTCCAGGACCAGGATAGGGCACCCCTGTCCTAAACTTTCCAGCAGCTGGAAAGTTCTACTGTATCTGGATGACATTTATCTCCTGTGCACCACAGCTTTGGGTTATTTGAATATGAGGAAATACCTACTGAAATGCAAAGCATATTTGGGAATTAGGACTTACAGTTAGTTTTCATAATTTGATTACATTATTTTTTAATCTTCTGTGGGACAGCGTTTGCAGAAGGTATAGATAGTCCTCAGAAGATTTAGCAGGCACTAGCCAGGAAGTGTAGTGCCTCAGGTATCGGGTGTCCAGAGACAGGATGGTGACAACCATTACACATAGAGAAGTATAGCTTTATGAATTTAGACTTTTCCCTTTACACCAAATATCATTGATCAGCCAAGACATTTGGAGCCCAAAGGCTGCTTCTTTAGTTTTATACTGAAGCCATGAGGCAAATGTAGCTAGCAAGCAATGGAAATTTATACTTTTTCAGTATCATGTAAACTGCATGCCTGAGTCATCTTGCTCTCACTGGCTATGCTGCCACCTGCTGGACTGTGTGACTCTTCCTCCTTATTCGTAGTAAGTGGAGCTCTGTTGGGTCACAGCACACTGAGCCTTCTACAGTACAGACACTGACATCAGAGTAGCCCTTTAGGCAACTGTTAGACCTCCAGCATGAAGGCTTCTGTCTGGTTTGTCATCTGCGCTGCGGGTAAGATGTTTATTTGTCATAGTTTTCCATTTCTGTCTAATGTTCATATGATGGTTTGACTCATGTCTTTGAAATAGTGATGATATCTGGGGCCTAACTAGCAAAAGGTTGATTCTCCATGAACGATTCAATTGCAGTTAGTATCTGTCTCTTGAGTCAATAAAGGCAAAAAAGCTTTGAGTGGTCTTGGCCCATTCATGTTCATCAGCTAACTTTACTATAATGAAGAAAAACTTCAGCGTACTTGTTCTGATTGATGGTGAATGCTGATTGCATTGTTTTTTTGGATTAACATGTACGAATTCCCATTTGAATTTCTGTACCTGTAATTTTCATGCTTTAATTCTTAAACAAATTAAGATTTTCTACTGATTAGTTCAAATGAGTGGCCAAATGTGACCAAAAGACTAAATATGACTTGATAAGCGATAAAAACTCGCTTTTTAGTCATCAATTGAAAAATTGTCCTGATCTGTGGCAAGCTCATATCATAAAAATAAATTGCTTCTTTAAAAATTATTAATTAGTTAATACATGTCATAAAAATGTACTTGAATGTACTTGAAAACTTTTGAATTTTTAATATGTTTCATTCTCGAACTTCTGATGATTTAAGGTCTGTATAGCAAAATGTTCACTTTATATAGAAGCACTTTCTGTGCTGTAGTGGTAAAACTAGTATAGTATGCAATGATGATTGTAACCATAAAAACAATTTAGATCAAAAAGAAACATACTGTGGAGTATTTAGGACAGAGCTACACTGGTCATTTCCGGCGTGGTCTCTGTGGCTCATATACACACATTATGGGAACTTCCATTGTGCTTAAGCTGTGTGAATACATCCATAACATTTAGTTAAGTCCAATAAATGTCTATCTTGCAGTTGTAAGAGCAGCTGTAAAGGATGAAGTGGAGACAGTAGAAGTTACAGAGGGAGCCACGGTAACTCTGAGAACTGACTGGACCGGAATGAAGAAAGATGATGTAGTACAGTGGGAATTTGGATTTACAGATACTTGCATAGCAGTGCTAATTAACATGAACAGTGTCACTCATTATGATGAAAGATTCAGAGACAGACTGCAGCTGGACACACTGACTGGATCTCTGACCATCAGCAACATCAGAATCACACACTCTGGACATTATAAAGTGCTGATCAGCAGTGAAGAGATCTCAATCAAGCATTTCAGTGTTACTGTGTACAGTAAGGATAAATGTGTTTACTTCTCATTAGTCTCTTTATTATAGTCAGTGTAAGTTTCAGCTCGAACTGATTTTTTTCTGTTTTCTCTAATAGATCTACAGTACTGGAAAAACATCATCACTCTTCACTTCATTTTCATTCAAAACAGCCATTAAGTACCAATTAGTGCAAGTCTTTCAGGGGTTATTTACAGTTGTTGGCACCCCTTCATTTAATACTTTGTGCATCCTCCATTTGCAAAGGACTCTAATGATTACTGAGTCTGGAGAACATATAAATGATCTGAGAACATTGCTCCATACAGAACCTCTCCAGATCCTTCAGATTCAGGTCCACACTGTGGACTCTCCTCTTCAGCTCATCCCACAGGTTTTCTGTGGTTTTTAGGTCAGGAGACTGGGGTGGCCATGGCAAACCCTTAATTCTATGGTCAGTAAACCATGTCTGTGATGATTTTGAGGCGTGCTTGGATCACTGACTGTGGGCCTGTTTAAGCTCCCTGGCTGAGGCAGTGAGGTTTTGATTTAATATGCTGGTACTTGATGGAGTCCATGATAGCATGTTTCCAATGAAGTTGTCCAGGGCCTTCAGAAGGAAAACAGCCCTACAACATCACAGATCCACCACCATATTTCACAGTGGGGATGGGGAACTTTTCTGTATGGTTATCTTTGTGTTTATGCCAAACTCATCTCTGGTGTTTGTTGCCAAAATACCCCATTTTGATCTCATCTGATCATAGAAACATAAAAAGTCCAGTAACATCTGGCAAACTGTAGCTGCTTGAGTTTGCCAATTCTGCAGATCAGAGGCCTCCTTCTGGCAACAATCCCAAAAAACTTGTGGTTATTTAGGTGCCATCTGATTGTAATTAGGGAGACATTATTACCCCAAGACCAAACTAATTTCTGCAGTTCCCCATTTATGATTCTTGGAAATTCTTTGTCCACTCAAACCATCCTCCTCACTGAGCGTGGGGTCATTATACACATACATCCTCTTCATCTCCAGTTGCTTTAAACTTCTTAATTTTTGCCCTAATAATGGAAATGGGCATGTTCAACAGTTTAGCTATTTTATGAAAAGGTCCTTCTTTGTGCAAGAAAAAGAAGAAGAAACTGAAATAAAAAAAAAAAAAAATGGGGGAAAAAATGGGATTCCTAATTGTGACCTGTCAGCCTTGGTCTGCCACAGGCAAAAAACGGAATCCTGTCAAAGTGTGTGGCCACACAATGCCACCACTAGAGGGAGGCAGAAAGCCGCCTCTCAGTAATTAATGACACCTGTTTCTGCCTCTACTTAAGGAAGGCTGGCTCTTTGTCCTGAGCTCGGTCATGGGTTAACCTGGCATGTGCATGTAACTCTTGACCAAGGTGGCATTTGGGACCTTGTCTTAAGTTTCCTTAAGAAAAAAAAAAAAGTTTGTTATTTTCTAGAAGGAAATGTTTGAGCTTGAGCTGTGAGTGGTATTAGTTCAGACGTTCCCCTGAGGCTTGACTCATACATTACAGCCTTTTTTACAGATCTGCTTCCGTCCCTAACTGGTAGTTCACCCAGTAAAGCATTGGTCTCAGATATCTGACACACTTACACACACATGCTAACAACTAACATGGCTTTAGAAAAAAAACTCCACAGGTGAGAAGAGAATTCAATGCAATGGGTCTGAAAGGATGTGTAACAGTCAAGATGCTCTTACTGAGAAAAGAAAATAGATTAAAAGACAGGAAATCAAGCAAAGAAGCAGCTGGTGTTCTCAGAGCAATGGACTGATCACCTCAGAGTCCAGACTTCAATATCACTGAATGACTTTGAGATTACTTAGTTTATGAAAAGCAGAAAATGCAACCAACTTGTAAGACTGAACTTTAGAGGGGTGGCGAAATATCCCTGCAGATTTCTTCGAAAATCTGAAAGTGAAAAAATATGAGCTGTATAAAGGCAAAGAGGTGGACACACTAAATACTGGAGAAGACTTCTATTTAGTTTTTAATGCTTTTGTGTATTAAATACACATTTTCTGCTCTTTTCCAGATGATGAAAAGTGAATAACTTGTACTTAATGGCTGTTTTGACTGTAAATCAAATAAAGATAGTTTTAGTTTTTGCACAGTACTGTAATTTCTGTGTGTAGTGGTCCACTCTTAATGTAACATATTGAGAATGTTGAAATTTGGATGGTATAAATCAAGGGTGTTTAGTCAGAAAAACAAAAGATCAGTGGGGCTGCAGGCTTCACTCCCAACGAAGCCTGAACATACACTCTCAGAACTAAAGGTACGAAAAAGTCACTGGGGCAGCACCACTTCTGTCACTGGGTTGGTACCATCAGTACCTTTAGTCAGGGAACATAATTGTACCATAATCCAAAGTTGTATTGATTCTCTCATCTCCAGGCTTTTTATTTCATTGTTCTGTTTTAAAATATTTGGTCATGAAAAGATCTAAATATGTACTTTTGTGTGTACCTGGAAAAAACGTATTTAAGGTACACAACTGGACCATAAAACCACTGTTGTTCCTTTGATGGTACATTTACATTTTGATGAATGAAAAATGTATCTGCACAGAACCTTTGTTTCTAACTGTGTACATGATCATAATAAGAGACTACCTGATTAAACAAGTGGAATCATGTATGCTCCTGCTTTCTTGGAATGAAAACCTGCAGCCTCACGACTCTTTGTGGATGAGTTTTTGACACCCCTGCTTTAAGTTCACAATGCACTACAAACATTATTTATTTTAATTTCAGTGTACATGGTAATGTTTATTATTTGTTTTCCAGCCCCTCTCTCTGAACCCACCATCACAGACCTGTCAGATATAAGCAAGTGTCAGAGTCCTCACACTAACACACCACAACCGTCAGGTTAGTAATAATGGTTCTAAAAAAGTTCACTGAAAATATAAAAAGACGGAGTTGTGTATATTCAGAAGTGAAACCACTGAATATATATTTATGTATATAATTGGTCATTTTTTTCACCCCTCATTTCTCCCATAGACTCCCATTCATTCTTGCCCCCCACACAAGCCCAATTATTTCTTTATCTGATAGCCACCAAACTGCATGTATTCATTCAGAGCAGGTCCCCAAGCTCTAATCCACAGCCATACTGACCTGTACTCCTGTATGTGTTGTTTTTCTCATCCTTCGTCACTACTATAGAGTCCCATTCATTTTCTCTGTCACCCAAGCCCTATTATTTCCTTTGTCCAGCAGCCACCAAACTGTGATTTTTTCCTCTTTCAGCACACCATATATGGTTTTGATTGATTTTGCTATCTGCTGGAGCACAGCTTTTATTTAGTGTTCATTTGCTGGATGAGACCAGTTCAAATGGATCAGTTGAGCTCCACTGTGCCATTATGGAGTCTTAAATATTGGACTTTTGTAATGTTGAATGTTTTAATACAATGAAAGAGGGCATTTTGTTAGCATCTCATCGATTTTGCCGTATCAACAAATTGACTGAATCACTGTCCTTTCTTTCTCAACCAAATTATGCATTCTGTGAACTGTTATACCCCCAGTGTTTGTGTTTATCTGAGAAACAAACACGCTTTTTAATCAAAATGTCTCGTAAGATTATAAAACACATACAATCAATATCCAAACTTTTGACAGGTATTGTATTTGTCCAGATATGTACGTTGAACGTACAGCCTGTCTGACTCTATGATTCTTGTTGTCTTTCAGTGGATCAGTCAATGCAGTCTCAAAGCACTCCCCTCAGTGCAGACAGAAGTCCTGCATCATACCAGTGCAAGGTGCTGTGTTCAGTTACAAATGGCCCAAAGGTCAGTTTGTCATGGATTAGAAACAGACATACACTGAAACAGAGGAATAATCTTGACCTCAGTGTCCCTCTCTGCCTCCATCTGGAGATAAACATTCAGGACAATCACATCTACAGCTGTGTAGCTACCAACCCAATCAGCAATCACTCAACCCAATTCAGCATCATACAGTTCTGTCCACAAACTGGTAAGAAAAGTTACTTTGTGCCTGGGGAGTAACCTTGGGGTACTCTATGGAATCATATAAATTTTCCCCCATAACTCTTTTTTAACCCTGTTGAGCTGCTAGTGAGCAATGAGTGTTTAAAGGGAAGTGGTAAGACCCCCGTAAGGCTCCACAATGATGGCCATGCCAAGATAAAACAGACAGCAGAGAGCAGCTGCCACAATTTAATATAAAATATTATCAGCAATATTAGCTATGTTCTTTTTGACAACAATCCTGCTACCCCACAAAATTTTGCATAATTTTAAAAAGTGGAGGGGACATATCCTCCCATCCTGCCCTGAATTTGCACCAATGCTTGATATGATGATATTATCATATTGCATATTTTTCTTACTGCTTCACCTTTATTTAACCATTCCCTTTATGCAATCATTTTAATTTGTAGTTAATTCAAAAATGTATACAATAGGAAAAGACTGCACATCGTCATCAAATTACCTATTCACACATACAGTCGTATGCAAAAGTAACATATTTTAGGGGAAATAAAGCATAAAATGTGGCCTGTGCAAGAGTTCTGGCAAAATTATGTATTTTAAGCTTCATTATGTTTTCTACTATCGTTAAATAATGTGGACTAAAATATGCAGAAAATGGCACATTTCAGTTTGTTCTCTGAACTCTCAGAGACTCTCTTAAGAAATTTTCAAAACTGTCCTCAGGGACCTCTAGGCAGATTTCTGCTCCAGCCCAACTCACAACATGTCTGTATATAATGAATACTGTGAAATATACAAAGAAACCAAAAAAAATAAAAAAAATAAAAAGAGCTTGTCCAGAAGAAGGGTGTCAATGTGCCATACTCCCTTTACATATAACAATGAATATGTTCATTTAAAATGATGCATCTGTCACTGCCCACATACTTCCACACATCCTTTACATTGGTCTGGCTGTTAAGTAGTACATCCACTAGAGGGCAGTCCAGAGTCAAAAGTGTCTGACAACAACAAACATGGCGACGGTGGAGGATCGTAATAATGTACCTACTTCAAAAGAGGCACCAGTGTAGACTGTGGTGTCTGTAAGGCCTTTAAATACTTGTGGATGGATAATTATTTTCACTTACCAATTACAGAAACTGCCCCCCCCCCACGGTTTCCGGTGGTCCTGCTCCATTTCATCTGTATTCGTAACCTTTCAGAGAACGTGCACAAATATGGACGACATGAACACAGAGTACTGACTCCATCCATATCCATATTTAACATTGAGCATAAATGAGCCTTTAGATATTTCCAGAGAACAGATGTGCTGTCTATGCAGAATGTAGTTATCACATATACTGTAATATTAGAAGGTAACCCACAGGGTTATTAAATGGTTATTATATTACCATCAGAGAAAATGCGAGCTATAGAGTAAGGCTTTGTACCTTGTTACTGAATTTGGATCACCATAATATCAATTATCTCTACAATTCTGCAGATGATAAACGTTTATCTAAATTGACATTATCATTCAAGCTTATAGTTCTAGCTCGCAGAGTTATGGGATTGAGTAATGATACACAATAATACATTCAGTAGTTTACCTTCTAAATATTTTCTCTCTTAGGTCTGTCCAGTGTCCACTGTTGTGGCTCCATTGAAATTGTGGTCCGATTGGTCCTCTCTGCTGTGGTGGTCCTGGCCACACTTGCCCTTCTGGTTTATCACTTCAGATCCAGTTTTCAGTAGAACAGCTGAGCATAAATGTCAATTTGCTTGGCTTCATGTATGTACAGTACTGAACAATAAATAAATAAATAAAGCCATACAATAACCAGCCACTTTATTAGGTACACCTACCTTATATGTTTATAAGGTAGATTTATCATATAGGAGCACTTTGTAGTTCTACAATTACAGACTGTAGTCCATCTGTTTCACTACATTCTTTGTTAGCCCCCTTTTACCCTGTTATTTAATGGTCAAAACCCCTACAGGACCACCACAGAGCAGGTATTATTTGGGTGATGGATCATTCTCAGCACTGCAGTGACACTGACGTGGTGGTGGAGTGTGAGTATGTGCTGCACTGGTACGAGCGGATCAGGTGGCCCTGATGATTCTCCCAATCCTGATTTATCACTTCACATCCAGAACAATTTCAAATGGAGGACTGCATAGAAAGTGTCACCATTAACAAATGTACCAAGTTGACCAGTAGGGGGCAAAGTTTTTAAAAAGCAGGCTATATTGTTCAATTTTATAATTTTTATTTAGTTGTGTTATACTTGAAAGACTAATAAATATTGCACCATTAATCATAAATGAACCTGACTAGATCTGAGTATTTATAACCTTATGGTTGTTCACTAACATGTGAATTATATGAATTTACTCTGTACACTTAATGTGATAGTTTTTATATCTATATAATATATTTACTCTTCAACAGCAACACCACTATCAACAATGATAATGATAACAATGTCAGTATTATTATTATTATTATTATTATTATTATTATTATTATTATTATGTGTCCTAAAAGCAATTCTCAAGTACAACCCCATTACCAAAAAAAGTGTTTAAAATGTATATAAAAATAGACTGCAATGATGTGCAAATCATTTAAACCTATTCAATTGAAAATGATGCAAGGACAACATATCAAATGTTGAAACTGATTTTCAGTTTTGATTTTTATTTATTTATTTATTTTGGAAAAATAGATGCCCATACCAACAACACATTCCAGAAAAGCTGGGACAGAATCATATTTACCACTGTGTTGCATCACTTCTTTTTTTACAATAAGACCTTAAGTGCTTGGGAACTGAGGGAGAGCTTGTGAGTTTTGAATGTGAATGTTTACAACCCCCTCTGCACCTAGTATGATATGGGCCAGTAAGTTATTAATATTATTAATACTAATATAACTAATACTAATATAACTACTATATAATATAACTAGTATATACTATAAATATATATGGGGTAAAAATTCCCACCTACAATATGGATTTGTGGCAAATTATGGCAGCATAGCTGTCAGTCAGGTTTTACTCAATTTCTTGTTAGCTAACTTTTGGTTCATATGAGGCAAAGAAAATGGGTTAGGCTAACATTAGCTAGCTAAGCCAACTAATTTAACCGCACTTCATAAGGAGAGTGCGAGAGTGTGAACAAGCAAAAGAGGACAGAAATAACTTTGTTGACAGCTCTTTATATTCTTAGTTTTTATATTTCTCTTCAGTATTAGGAAACAGTTACACCAGTATTTGCCATATATTGTTGTTTACAGTAAGTTAACTTCAGTGAAAAGGTCATCAGTGATGATCATTGAACAATTTATATTATATTCCTCAAACGTGTTAATGGATGGTTAATGGATGCTGTTAATGGATGATGGTTAATGGATGCTGTTAAATTAACAGCAGCCCCGTCAAAAGCCAGTCAGATGAGAAGATTTTTACAGAAAAAAATGATTAATTCATTGATCTTTTATTTTCTTTAAATTCTTGTTAATCTGAGTTTGATAAAAATTAAGGCATTACAGGTGAAGAGAGGCAGAGAAAGAAGCTGAAGGAGACTGACAGAACTGCAGGAGCAGATCTGGTGGTGGTGAGTGATCAAGAAGAAAGTGAAGGGGAGTTGTTTAAGCTTTCAGTTAAAATTAATACTGAATTTAATTGAATTTAACTGAGACAATATAAAATTTGTCACCATGACCATTTTGCCATCTTATTAGCTTATTAAACATGCGAACAGAGCCAAATCCCACTCTCTGATGGCACCAACTGAGGCTGAGCTGATCTATAATCTGTGTGTTTGAGTAATATATTTAGGACCATGCAGCTTATCTAAGGGAGAGGAGAGAGCATTGCTTGACTTTGCTTGATCTGTGTCTGATGTAAGTGGATGGATATAGTGTTTAAGTCATACTGGCTCTGTGCTTAATACAAACTACCTAAAGACACATTTACTGTGTGCTAATTTGACCAAACAGCCATTTTTTGACAAATTTGACCAAAAAACTTTTTTTTTGGCTGTTGCTACTCATAAAGTTCATAATGTCAGACATTTGGGGGCCATTAAGACAACTTCTCCTGGAGGACCATGCCCCCAGACCATTCTGGTACAGGCTTTGCCCCAATAGTAAACCTTTAATGACGCCCTTGACCTACATACAGTGAACTTAATAGGCTACTATGATTTTGGTTTTACTTCAAGCTTTGGGTTTACCTCAAAAGTTAAATGTTAAAAATGACAGTGAACCTCCAACAGCTCCAAGAAAAAGGTCACCCATTCCCACCAAGGCCACTCCCAACAACACAGATGATCTCCAAAATCGAATTGAAAGAGTTGTGAGTGCAGTGACACCCGACATGCTCAGTCGAGTATGGGATGAATTTGACTATTGTGTTGATGTTGTCCGAACAGCTGGAGGAGGTTCATATTGAGCACTTGTAAAATTACATAATAAACTTTATGCTCATTTAAACCATTTACAATTAACTGCATTGTTCTGTAATGATTACAAGTGAAATAAATAATTTGATGATGAATCGCATTGCATGAATCTTTTTGAATCACCCTGTGTATAAAACCTGTGATCATGGCATTATTGAGGAAACCTGATTTTTGATGTTTGAGCTTTAAGAGTCACAGTTCGCCACTGGCCTATGTATATACTAGTATACACCACTGTTGCACCATTCCAATGTACAGTTTTTGTTTGGTTATTAAATAAAGCTATGGCATGTACAGTACACATTTCCCTATATGCAATATGTGAGTCTGAGGTAGATAAATGAGATGCAGGGTACAAGATATGGATAGAAGATATACAAGATGTCAATCTATATGTGCAGGTATAGGTTGGCTAGATAGAAGTTACAGTAAGATGTACAGTATGATGGTTGGTCTCTGACTTTTGCACAGTACTGTATACAAACATGTTATTAGGATAAATATTGAAATGCAATAAATTAAAAATGATTATCACTTTTTTTCTATTCCAGAGCTTCTCCTAATGATGTAATTAATGCTAATGCTGCTGACTTACAGTTCTGTTTATCTCTTACCCTAATGCAATATTTACTCCCCACAGACATCAACACTGAAACTCCAGACTGATGTTATATCAATAATGATCTGTAGTTTATAAACTCCAGAATCTTCTCTGCTCATGTTTGTGATGGTTAAAGATCCACTGGTTCTGTTCAGCTGCAGTCTGTCTCTGAATCTCTCCCTGTAATAGTCTGTTATAATCTTTCTCTCAATCATCAGACTGTTTACTATCCTTTTATCTACATTCTCAGATCTATAAAACCACAGTATGTGAGCATCACTCTGAACTCCAGTTATTCTAGTATGGATGGTTACAGTGTTTCCCTCCAGCTCCTGCAGTCTGACAACCTCTTCTCCAGCTGAGCACAGCAGAGCTGAAACAGTGTAAGTACCTAAATTTAATGACATAAAGAAGATATTCCATGTCAGTTCATTTCTGAAGCCACTATCACAGAGTCACAGAACTTGGACTGCAACAGATCTTTTTTTTTGAAGCCCAACATTATAATGTAAAATAACTACATTTATCCCAGTTGGCTAAATATTACTTTTACTTTCCACAGGTTTCCTAAATAGTTGCAGGTGATAATTAAATATTAAGAAAAAAAGTGACCGCAAGAAGGCACCCATGCAAAAACATTCATTTCCTATAAAATGTGATCATTTTAAAAAGCATATTTTTAGACATTATAGTCATAATTGTGATCTGTTTGTGCACTTATTCATTGCATTGATGACAAGTATTTAAGCTCTCTATGAAGAGACAATCTCTACAACTATGCTCATTTTCAAACTTAAGCCAGCCTCACTGATCTCACTACTGCTTAAATGTTCAAGCCACATCAAACACACCTTATATAAAGATCCATCATTAATATGATTGTATTTCACACTGATAGATCATCATCTAATACAGATACACCTACTTTCAGTTCTGCTCTACTGTATAAAAACACATCAACACTCACAGTGACTCTGTTTTCTAGTAAACACAGAGCAGTAACAGTAAAGACGATCTCTATCAGTGTTCAGTCTGGACTGACCGCACTGTAAGTTCAGAGCTCCTCGTTTTCCTGGAGTAGTTTGAGGAAAACAGACTTACAGTAAAGCAGGTGAAGCAGAGCTGAATGAATCCTGTATTCTGAGAACATCTTAACCAGCCATTCTAATCAACCAGCTTCATCAACTAACTCCTCAACTCCATCATCAGTTTTCTTCTCAGCTTCATAGAAAACAAAAGAAACATACGGAGCTGATGTGCTCACTCAGTATCTCATGTACCATGAACCTGTCTCCCAAAGCACAATCAACTTAGTCAAATTAAGTCTTGATGATTTTCTATGCAAAAACCAGTTAACATATCCTCTGTAATGCTTTACATTTCAGCTGTTGATATATACACACATACACATACAAGTGCACCTGATTTTGATTGTCTTTGGTAACTATCAAGTCAGCATATGTGTGTGTTTAATGATATAGGGGTGTATAAATACATAATATACACACTCATTGTCCATTTTTTCAGCTCCACTTTTATCAGCTCCAGTTCATTTTTATGAATATGTACAAAAAAAATTAACAAGGAATGTAGGACACATCTTTATGTAAAGTAAGGAAAAAAACTGTGACTGAATTAAAATTATGATGTTAACAAATACATATGTACAAACCAATTA